AATATAGTGTTTTCTTGTTAAAAACGGTCCCTGTTAAACATTTTGTATTAAACATTTAACAAATTCATGTATTAATTTAACATATTGCTGTTGTGTTAATTGAACTTAAATGTTAAATTAAAACGATCGAAAAAAGATGTAAAAATAATACAATGTGTGTATCTATTTTTAATTTTGCACAATAAATATGTTCTGTTTTATTAGTGACAAGATTTATCTGTTCAAATTTACAAACAAAAATTGTTTTATTTTATAAGTGATAAAATCTAAAATTAACATATTTTTAGTTAATTTTTACATCAAAATTATGTTGATTTTACACAAAATTTATTTTAAATTACTTGAAGTTTTGCATTTATCTCGTGTTAATATATTAACACACTATTTGTGTCTCCATTTAACATATCCATATCATGTTAAATTAACACAAATTTTTCAACTGTGTACATTAAAAGCAATAAGAATATCTGAATAATACAACAATATCTGTCTACAAATTTTACATGTACAATTTTCTGTAAAGTTCAACGTTAAATTGTTTTCGCAAGATTTTCGTAAGAGCAACGTTGTAATAATAATCCCTACTCTGACGATAAGTGAAACGAGTCGTAGGAAACGACTGTTTGGGCCGGTTATTGTGAATTTATATGCTTCAACGAGGTAGGAAATCGGTCCCTCTGTATATACAACACGAACAATAGGCAATAAAGACGATAAAGTTAATTTCATCATGTGCGGGCATCATGCTGGCGCAATCGCTTCTGTTGTAAATCAGTTACAAGTGCGCGAGGCCGGTTGGCTAGAGGGAAGAGAGAGATTCGCGGAGAAAAACTCCCTCCAAATTTATCACGTGAGTGAAATATGAATATTCATATAGCGAAGAAGCAAGAAAAAGATTGCGTGATTGACAAGATCGCTACACAGTTGAAAAATGTCTGTTAAATTTTACAGATATCACATGTCCCAAACGGTCCACAGGAATTTTTCTGTTAATTTAACATAATGTGGATATGTTAAATGGAGACACAAATTAATATTTTAACACAAAATAAATGCAAAATTTCAGGTAATTTAAAATAAATTTTATGCAAAATCAACATAGGATTAATGTAAAAATTAACTAAAATTATCTTAATTTTAGATTTTATCATCCTCACTTATCAACATTTTTTTCTGTAAATTTTAACAGATAAATCTTGTCACTAATAAAGTAGAACATTTATTGTGTAAAATTAAAAATAGATGCACATTGTGTTAATACTTTTACATTTTTTCAGTTGTTTTAATAATTTAACATTTAAGTTCAATTAACAAAACAATAATATGTTAAATTAACACATGAATGTTTTGTGTTAAATATTGAACACAAAAATTTTAACGGCGACCGTTTTTAACAAGAAAACAAATTTTTCTACTATGTAGAATCGCTCTCGTCCAAGTATGAGTTCTACGTCACATCATCAAGTCACATGTCGATGTAACTCTAACAATAATAAGATCACGTTTCGGCAGGAATGTTATTTCCGGAACCTCTCAGTTTCATTGATAATTTTATCGGGAAAAAATTAAGTAAAACCGCAATGCGCGACGACAGTTTTCAAGATATCGTTTTTTAAAAATGGCAATAATAGCAGTTATTTATAATTTGAACCTAAACGCATTTCTAGTTAAATTAAAATTGAATTTGTTATATTAAAAAATTTGATGAAAAGTCTTTGTGAAAATTATGTCTTCAAAAATCTTGAAATCTTGACATATTAAAAAAATGTAATTAAATATTTAATATAATATTTAAATATTTAAAAATACCAAAAAAATTATTTAATATTTAAAAAGTTAAACTTTTGAAACACTGATATCTCGAAAATTATGATTGTATCGTAGTTTGCGACATTCTTTTTATCAGTAAAAAATATATCAAACAAAACTTATCAAAGAAGTCCCGGAAATAACATTTCCTCTCCTCAACATTTTTTCCTGGATCGTAATGCTTTGTGAATGGAATCTTTTTAATGTGATGTAATTAACGCAGCTAGGGCTGGATTTCATTAGTATCTAATTTAAATGCCCTGAATAAGAAGACATTTATCGTTATTACAATTCTCGTGAACAATAAATAAAATGCACCGATGCTTCCGGTATTGTTTTCCCCAACAGAGGATATGCATATATTGTTTGAGAGGAGAATATTGTAAACATCGGTATATTAATCGGATTCGATCGGGATTTATGAAATTATTTCGCGGTTTTACAGTCGCGCGAGTTCGATGGTTGTCGACTAAATAAATCAGGATGTTTCATATTCTGTATATATATATGCGTAGATATACACTTTTTGAAGCGCACGAACATCCATCGTGATACTGATGCATGTGCACGCGTCCGGTTTTTGTAATTCACGTGATGTACTACTACATATATACTCGTTATATCATATAATGGACGGCACACGTATGTATTTCCGAGGGAGTTAAATTTCACATTTAAAGCGCGCCATCATATCATGGCTACTGTGTATTTATATTGCGTCTGTCTATCTATCTGTCTCTTTCGAATTATTCGCTTTGAGAGTGGAGATTTATTAAGCATCGCCTCTCCAAGTTATTTTTAATAACGCACTCTTTGTGTCAGGCAACTTGTTGTACATTTTAAAAAGTGTTCATTACTTTATAATAACAGTTTGTTATTTAAAATGCAGAATATATGGAACCATTTATTTTAATTCAAATGACACTTTTCGCACTTGTATACATATCTGTCAATTTTAATACCTTACTTCAGTATTGCACTCTTTTAAAAACCTAGTCACCGATTAAAGTAATGATACAAGAATTTACACAAAATTTATTTTAAATTATTTGAAGTTTTGTATTTATTTTGTGTTAAAATATTAACACATTATTTGTGTCTCCATTTAACATATCCATATTATGTCAAATTAACACAAACATTTCTGTGGACCGTTTGGAACATGTGATATCTGTTAAATTTAACAGAATTTTTTCAATTGTGTATTAATACAGTATTTGCGTGTCTTCATTTAACATATATTCACATTATGTTAGATTAACACAAAATTTTTTCTGAATTGTTTGGGACATGTGATATCAATTAACACAAATTTTTCAACTGTATTCCTTTTCGACGATAATACATTGATCTAATTCCCTTCGCGAATAATAATTTCTAACATACATATATGTAAGAGAACAACAATTAATTAACTTAATAATCTCTTAAGTTTTTTGTTCTTTGTTCATTCCGGATGTTATTGAATTATTAACCAAAGAAGAAGAGCTAAAATCGGCAGCGTTAAAGAAAGAAAAGAAGAAAAAATAAAGAAAAGAAGTAACGCGGGAACAATTTTACATTTAAAATGTATCTCGATACAGATACAGATGCGTGTAAAAAATATATCTAGATACAGATACTCAGATATTTAAAAATCTCAGATACATATTAAATTCAAAAAAAAAATATGTAAAAATGTATCTGCAAATGTATCGGCAAAAAGCAATTCAGATACCATGTTTTGTATCTAGATACAGATACTTCAATTCGAATATATCTCAGATACAGACTCAGATACACAAAATGAATCTAGATACATGTATTTAAATACTACCCAAAAATATGTGAAAATGTATCTGAAAAAAGCAATTCAGATACCATGTTTTGTATCTAGATAAAATATAGATACTTTAATTCGAATATATCTCAGATACAGATTCAGATACACAAAATGTGAATCTAGATACATGTATTTAAATACTACCCAAAAATATGTGAAAATGTATCTGAAAAAAGCAATTCAGATACCATATTTTGTATCTAGATACAGATACTTCAATTCGAATAAATCTCAGATACAGATTCAGATACACAAAATGTATCTAGATACTGTATCTAGATACATGTATCTAAATACTCCCTAACACTGCGCGGAAAAGAGAGAGATAAAGAGAAGGATAGAGTACACATCAGCAACGCGTCTCCTGCGACCAACACATTTTCCGTGCCGATGCACTTACCCTCACATCCACCGCGTCCGCTGCACCCCACAGACGACAATCCACCCCGTCCGCGCGCTTTTCGCCCCCCCTTCCCCCGTCCTATATCTCCGCTCCCTTTACCTCCCACCACCTCTTCGCGCCCTTCGCTCACTTACGAGTGACGACGCCTGGTCTCTGGAAATAGTCGCCACAAAGCGATACGCCGCGCATCTATCGCGTGTGCCGACGTGCACAAGAAAGATTGTCGCAGGCGCATATCCGTCCCCAGTTCTTCTCTGTCTCTCTCTCGGTTCGCGAAACCGTCCCGAGCGCGAGAATAAAAAGTCATGACTTTCGACGGATTTTTGCGGCGAGGCGACAAAAAATATTGTATATCTTATCGGCGCGACCTTCGCGACCATATTTTCGTCGTGAAATTTATACGCGCGGCTATAATGGAGTTTTGCTCGCGCATGTGTGCGTGTATGTGGATATTGTATGTGTGTGTGCGTGAAACTTCGTCTGGGCTTTCGATTTCCGTTCGAGTTCCGGCCGCATTTATTAATCCGGCTTTCGAGAAGAAAGTGTCCGCGTTTCTGTATTCGACGTTGTGTTTCTTGCCTTTGAAACGAAAGTTGCTCTCTTATCGCGGAATGCGCCGATAACGACAGCTGGAGAAACTAATTTGAAGTTGTGATTAATGATTTTCATTGCGGAATCTTGTCATTTGTTCTAAAAGAGATCAAATTTAGTTTCTTAATTCGTGAAAAATCGCTATCATTTGGAATTATTATTCTCTTTCTCTCTGTCTCTCTATTTTAACAAGTTTTGCTCAAGGACGCAATTTTCTGTTCATCGAAATTAATTAATACACAAAAATAAAAAATTAATTAATAAAATATTAATTTAAAAAATAATAAAGAATTAAAAAAAAATTAATATAAAATTAATTAATAAAATATTAATTTAAAGAAATAATAAAGAATTAAAAAAAAAAAATTAATTGAAAATTAATTAATTTGAATATCGACGAAATCGTGCAAGTGAGTTGATTATAAAGTGAATGATAATAAACCGCAATCGCGCTCCAGGGAAGTGAAAAATGATCTTGTGTATCTAATTGTAAGACTCAACACACGTGGATAATCCGGTGATGAACGACGTGTATTATTACGTGCCAGTGATTGAATTCGCCGGACAAGGCGTATTAGAGATAAACAATCACAAGAGCGTCTGTCTTCCATTATTCCACGTAGTTATTCGCGACGCTAGAGGGAAGAGATTATCTATCGATAATCGGTTCGATGTATCACACGATCTGTATCGAACATGCGCTCGTTAGCTGCTAGGATGGATGAGCGAAGGTATCTCTTAACCCTCTACCTCCTTTCCCTTCAAAGCAATCTCTGTGCGTGTCACTTATTTTATAATCCGTCAACACGGATATGGCGGGATGGGAACATCTTACTTATTGTAAAAAATATTTTTTTCAATTCTTTAGCAATCAGAAGATCCGTAGAATTTTGAGAGACCCTCTTATGAGACGAAAAAACTTCCGTATCATTTCTTTTCCTATTTTCATTCATATAAATTTTTGCGACCCCAGCAGTCAGTTATTTTATAATCTGCCAATATGCACGGAAAAAAATTATTTATTATTTATTATTAATTACTTACTATTAATTTTTTTTCAGTGTGAATATGGAGGGATGGGAAGATTACTTATTGTAAAAAAAAATAGTTTTTAATTCTTTAGTAATCAGAAGATCCGTAGAATTTTGAGAGACCCTCTTATGAGACGAAAAAACTTCCGTATCATTTTTTCCTATTTTTATTCATACAAATGTTTGCAAGCCCAGCAGGCGAGGTAATCCAAAAGGAGATTTGCTGTAAAAAGGGTCCCCATCAAGGTCTGCGATAATACGCCGTATTCCGTTCCCGGGAATCATATATCTAACCACTATAGGGCCGACGCGCGTTTATACTAACATTATATGTGCGTAGGGTGGCACGTGCTACCCCTGACAGAAGGACCGTTAATGAACCGCAGGCGAAATCAAAACGGCATCTCTTTCTCCGCTGTGAGAGAGAGAGAGAGAGGTTGTTGTTTGCGCCGTTAATTTTCATGCCCGCACTCTTGCGTAGTGCGGCTCGAAACTAATGATAATCAGGACGTGATAAAGGGCGGCTCTCGGGTTTATCGCGCCTCGGGGCGAGTGGATAAAAGCTCCTTCCCGGCCGAAGGGATTCTCATGCGATGATCGCAGGAGGGTTGCGATAGAAGGAAAAAAAGAGTCACCGCTGTGGGTGGATGTTTCTGATCTAACGCGATGTCAAAGAACCCGGTTGCTTTAATGGCAAAAATAAAATGATAAAAAAACAAGGAAAAAGATAATCATCTTTATAGTTTATTTATTCGACGCTGGATAAATATCTGTTTTTTTTTTTTAGCTTCTCTTATTCTTTCTTTTGTCTCGAAAAATCTTCTGCTGTATCACTTTCTGCTTTGAGAAAGTCGGAGATTAAAGTCGTCGAAGATTTATCTTGTTATTAATTTGTAATGCGGAAAAAAGAAATTTTATTTTGGTTGAAATTCAGTCTAGGATTTTTTCGATTTTTTAAGATTATTCAGATTTTCTTGATCGGATACTGAATCTATTAGATCGCGGAAAGTTTATATTTAATTATCTATTCTTTGGTTATATATATTGGATCCGCCAGATTCTCTTCATTAATTTTAATATTGGATTTGATTATACATATATATATATATATATATAAATCTTTTGTATATGTATGAATTTTCATCAGCAGCGGAAAACTTTTTAATTTGACATCTGTCATATTGAATTGCTTTTCAATAGTAGATTTGTATTCAGCTCGTAAGCTTGAATAATTTGAAAATGTTTTATGTATATAATCCTGTTATCTTAATGGCATAATTTACAACTTTCCCGTAACAATATATCTGGTATTCAATCACTTATTACGTTTGAAATAACCTTCATGTCAAATATCTTTTGAGAATTAAAAGAAAAAAAAGATGAGGATAATGATAATTATATTTAATTTTGAAAAAGAAGAAAATTATTTTAATATAAATTATAAATAAATAATTATTTTCTTACCATAAAATTTAAAATAATCAACACTTTAACACTCGTCGAATATTGTAAAAAATTTGTTAACTTTTGACGAAACCTTTCAACTAAATATCATTTTGTTAATTGAACATTTACAAATATTTATATTAAATGTAACATATATATTAAATCTAACGAAACGTATATTTGACTTAAATACTAATATATGTTCAATTAACTAAATAGTGATTTAGTTGAAAGGTTTAGTCAAGTTAACACATTTTTTTGTTCAACTAACAAAATAATGATTTAGTTGAAAGGTTTGATCAAGCTGACAAGTTTTTTTACAGTAAAGAAAGTGAATTAAAAAACCGTCATCATTAGGTACTGTAGATTGTACCGTACACGTTATACGCTAATCGGAGTTGAATATAAATGAAGAGTTATAAAGGTCGTCGGAGAGGAAAACGTGTACTATTTTTCGAGAGGGTCCGACGTGGGTGAAAGAAGAACTTTCGTTTGTTCCATATTTTACTTGGTTTTTTTCCCGCCCGACGATAAACAAAATGCAGCAGCAGCTCCGGGAGAGCTGGACCTCCCAATCCCGTCCCGTTCACTTAACGAATTAGCGTTTAATTCCAATTAGCGTGTACGCGCCCGGTTGTCGTACATAGTCAGAGTGTACAAGAGAGAGACTCGCGAGAGTTTCGCAATTTGCTCGGTGACGCTTTTACGCCGGGATCTGCCCGTTTAATTCAATTTGTCCCTTAGACCGTCCTATAGTCGCCGGGGTGTCATTTGTTTGTTTCTCCGGTGTTTCTTCTCCCTCTCGACCCGGGTGAACTTTTGTGTTTTCAATTTAGCTTTCCCTCTCTTTTTCGCGCCCGAGCTTCCGATCCCTAACTTCTCGCACGATGATAAAGGAATGCACGATTTGCTGTGCCCCACTTTCATTGCGAGCACTCACAGTAGAAAAATGCGTTTTTTGTTCAAAACGGTCCACGTTAAAATTTTTGTGTTCAATATTTGTCACATTTATGTGTTAATTTAACATATTATTAAATAAGAAATATTTTTGTCGGCTCTCAATATTCAATACTAATAACATAAATGTGATATTTTTTTAAATCGGCCAATAGAGCCCAAAGTGCGAAAATTAATTTTTCGGAACTGTATCTCTTGGTACGAGATTACTAAAAGTTCCATATGGACAATAATATGTTCCATATGGAACTTTGAGTAATCTCGTACCAAGAGATACAGTTCCGAAAAATTAATTTTCGCGCTTTGGACTCTATTGGCCGATTTAAAAAATATATCATATTTAAGTTGTTAGTATTTAACATATTGTTCTATTAATTGAACACCCTAATTTTACATAGTAGAAAAATCTATGTTTTCTTGTTAAAAACGGTCCACGTTAAAATTTTTGTGTTAAATATTTAACACATGTATAATTTTACATTTATTGCTGATCTGTTAATTGAACTTAAATGTTAAATTATTAAAACAACTGAAAAAAATGTTAAAATAACACAATGTGCATCTATTTTTAATTTTACACAATAAATATATTCTGTTTTATTAGTGACAAAATTTGTCTGTTAAAATTTATGGAAGAAAATGTTGATTTTTTATTTTATAATATAAGTGAGGATAATAAAATCTACAATTAACATATTTTTAGTTAATTTTTATTTTAAATTACTTGAAGTTTTGCATTTATTTTTGTGTTAAAATGTAAGTTTCGTTCTCATTGATTGCTCCATTGGGCGAATATAATACGTGATTTGTGATACTGCGAAGATCTCGAGAGATATCTTTCGGATATCTCGCGGGAAATTTCATTTTTTTATATTATGCTATTCGAGTTACTTGATTTAATTTTTTTGTTATTTGTTAATTATTAATTTTTTAATTTTAATAAGTTATTTTTTACTACAAATATAATGTATTAATTTTAATAATTTTTAACTTTAAATTGTTATACATTTTAGTCACAAAACAATTTTATTAAATCAGAAAAAAACATTCGATAACAACATTACTACTATAACATTGTTATTGAATGTCTTTTTCTGGGTGTACAAATTATTTTGCTAAGCGTATTTTTTAATATTAAAATTGAATATTCTTCTTTCTGATTTCTGCGTACCTTTAATTTCAATTTTTTATCTCGATATATTTTATTCTATTGTTAACCATTCAAAAAATTACTCTTTTTTATGTATTCAATTCAAATTAATTCAACATTTTTTATACCTATTTATATAATGATTATTTTTGTTTATCTCTTTTATTTTTAAAATAGTTTATTAAATTTTGAAATATTATCAACTTATTCTATTAATCAAACGAGATGTTGACAATTCAATTATCCTTTACTTCTACGCATCCGTCTTATACATGGCGAATATATTGTGCGAATTCTACAATCAAGCTCTCGAGTTATCTCATACATATATAGGTATATACAAAGTAACACGCACATACAAACACATTGTTATTATTTATTTCCTACTTGTTTTCTGAGTTGTACTATGTGGACTGCACTCAGTATATATGGTTGTACTTATCACTCTCATTTCTCTGTTTTATTCCCTGCCATCTAGCGGAATGTGGAAATGACGAATTGCGAACACGCGGACGGGAACAATATATTACTTTGAAATTAAAATCCACTTTCGCCATCAAGACAAACATTTCGAAAATATTTCAGAGAATGTAGAAAGGTAGTTTCCTCATTCTTCAAAATATTTGTTTGCTCTGTCAAATTTTATTTATTATTATAACTTTGATTCTCTACCAATAATTAAATAAATATCGTTTTTGTGCATAATCTCTGCGCTATTTGATAGTAAAGATATATTATGCAAAAAAAAACACGATTGTTTTAATATCGAAATTATACTATTCTTTATGTTTATATTATACAGAGATCGCGATTATTCTGATTATTCACTCGTATTTTCCTCCACTAGATAGCCATTTAACATATCCATATTATGTTAAATTAACACAGAAATTTTTAGAACATATGATATTTGTTAAATTAACACAAATTTTTCAATTGTGAATTCGTCACAATTGATTATATGGCTTAAATATACATATATGTTTATTTAAAAGAGAACATATTTAATGTTATATGTGTATTTTAAAAAGTAAAATTAATAATAATAAAACAATAAAATTGTATAATAATAAAACCTTAATACCTTTGAAACTATTATTATTAAGTATAGTGCATTGTAATTTGCGACATTTTTTCTCGGTAAAAA